AATGTTCTTCCACAGATTTTAATAAGTCTGCTGGCACTGTCTATCCCTTGCTTAGTTTTTTTCTCGCCACAAAACGTTGAAAACATAAATCAGTGAATTTATCAGTTTATTTGCTTTTTACGTCTAATCGCGGCAGCTGGCACGCATTTTACCAATACGAAAATAAATACTATACCCAAAACAATCTAATGGTAAAATATTAATTACTACCAAACTAACATCTAGATAATTAATATATTAATTTATTCTTAGCCCAAATAACCAACCAAGAATAAAATTCTATTTCACATAATTCAACAACAATCACCTTAACATTATAATCCAAATTCAACCCATCCTCAACTCCAAGAACAATACATTTCATCCAATTAACCAAAAATATGTTGTGTGCCCCCCTTAAAAAAGCAGAAACGTAAACAACCAGCCAAATCACTCATCGCACATTCATGTCGATCAAGATGGCTGAGATGCTGAGGTGGTTAGAGTAACGACTCATACCTCTTCTTAAGGGCCGCTATTTTCAGTTCCGCCCCGGGAGTCGATGTTTGGCCCCTCTCTTTCGGCCTGAGGGGACGCGGTGAACCTACTTTCCTTCCACTCCCAGATCCGAGGAGTCCTTAATCGTTAGTGTCCAGTGTAGTTTTGGCCTACCCGAGGCGCAGGGCCAAAGGTGACGCAGTGGATGACTTTAAGTGGCACAGCGCATCCTCGCACCAACTTCTTTTAAAGAAGAGTCTATAGCCGAATCTGAATTCATCTTTATATTGTCAACTCCAGAGTGTTATCAGTTCAATATTTCACGCCACTCGTCACGTCTAACACCTGCTCTGGCATCTTCACCAAACGGAACTCCTCGGCAGCTGTAGCTCCTTGGAGGGACCCATGACAATGATCGTCGAAGAGATTATCTTACTTTATAATAAACGGGAATATTTTGAGTTGATTTGCATTAATACGTTTAGTTGGTGATTGAGTTATCCCTTTCCTTTCTCGAAACAAAGTAGATCACCTCTATCCCAACGTCAAAGTAGCAGAGGTACAAGGTGCTCGAGAGTCGTTCAGCTTTTATGTAAAAACATGGGCTATGATTTGTAAAAATTTGGCCATCCCCGATATATTGTTTGAGTACCCCGTATTGGGGTGCAGAGAGCAACCTATCTGCATGAAAAACAAGAAAAAGTACCATTACACTTGCATCTAATAATCTGTCTACATAAAAAACAAGAAAAGTACCATTACACTTGTATCTAATCTATCTGCATAGACATAATAAACATATAGAGACCGTGAGTTCACATTCAAATTGTGACAATAGACTGAGTTCTGAATACATTATATTCCTGAACATTCCAGAAAAAGAATACTCATATTTACAGCTGTTGACTGAGTCCATCTGTTCACTTACAACAATGGCTGACTCAGCACATCCTATACATTTTTTAAATTCTTCATGAGCAATCTTTAAAGTCAGATCTGCTGAAGAATAGTTAGAATTTGAGTTGTAAAAAAGAATAAGTATATAATCTAATATGAGATTGATATCAAATTTGTTACCGAATTCTACCCTGTACACACAAGATAGGAAACACAACAAGATATAAAAATAAACGATCATAACATTATAAAAAAAATGATAAATTATTAATTAAATTGTACATTAAGATCACTAAAATGACCAGCATACGTTTTTGTCTCCGGCATTATTAGTGATAGTGTAGTTCATTAAGTGAAGTGTATGTTAGTAAGGTAGGACAAGAAAATATGAAGGAAAATAACCGCGCGGTCTGTGGCCCGCTGTTAGGACATTGCTCCGGCAATTCACCTTAGTGTTGATCGGAGAAAACCATAGAAAACTACGCATCTAGCTGTTGGCCCGCTAGAATTCCCTTAAAACAGTGGCTGAATTCGGGATAATGAACCAGCTATTAGTAGTCCCCGAAAAAATCTTGCTACTTCGATTCGAACCCTACAAATCTCCGATCTACTATCTAGCTTAATGTGAGAAAATCCTCATACGTTTGAAACTTCAACCTCCCTTTGAGAGGCACAGCCAGCTGGACATCAATTGATTCCTGAGCCACCTAATCGAGCCTAGTCACTTAGATAACCGACAGAGACCATTACCGTGCTGAAGACCAGAACACCACGTGCGCCTCGTAAGCCTTAGCTGTCCTTTCTGGAAAGTGCCACCCAAACCGAAGATGAGAGAATTTGAGCATGGCTCCGTCGAGAGCACCGAACATATGTTCCAACGCACGCTCATGTGCCACTTCGGGGGCAGAAACGAAGGGAATTGAAGCTAGGATGAATGGGCAAGCATAAAAAGTCAAAACACCCACAGGTAAACAACCTTGGCTGCACACGACTACAATCCGCGATTCCTGGAATCGCGTTGCAACTAACCACCCGTGCACTTAACACTCCCTTTGTCGGCAGTATTGTGCGGTTAAATTTTCAATGTCTTCAATTTATTGAAGCATGAATTTATAAATCAGTATTAAATTGTGCAAAATAAATGTAAAGATTTTCAAAACTTCTTTTAACTTGATGCGCTTCCATGATAGTCAACCTTTACTAAGCCATGTTCCTTCTTCCTTCGACATACCATACTTCTCTAATATTCTCACCAGCAGATAACTATCCTTGCGTCAAGTTATCAGTATTTGAAATGCGAGTCAGAAGACAAGGTCAACTAGTCCACGCGACTGAAAACGCGACTCTCCAATTTTAGAGAAAACGATCCCCTGTAGGAAAACCCACCTTCGAGTAGACCGAGAAGCCAGACGCCCTAAATTACGATAAGGCATTCGCAATCGCTGGGAAAATCTCTTTGTCGCTACATTGCTTAGAAAAAACCAGTCCCAACCCGGTAACCGCATTTCTGTCAAGCTGACTTGCACAACGCGAAATTCCAATAAGCGTAGCTCTAGCGGCTGACCACAGGCAACTGCACGTGAGCAGCCGACTGCAAGATTCTTGTTGTGAAACACTGGAACATTTGCACGTGCGTTACTACTGAGACAATCCATTAGAGAATCTATAATTGCGTGGGCTGAATATCATACATTAATAACAAGTAAAAATACTTTTTTAAATCTACAAAATATATTTGTTTTAACGACTTCTTAAATTGACGTTCAGAGATCCATGTTAGCGTAATACTTAGCCCTTTTGAAACCCATTAACAAGAACCATTTACTAGTCTATGGCTTTCTCTGTACTTAATGTGCAGTACATTTACAAATGTATTCATCAATTTTATCATTGTTTCTTTAATTTATTGGCAAGAAATCAAAGATAAACGAAATAGGTTCGTTTTACATTTAAAGAACTCTTGCGTTAATTACCAGTAACAAATCATATAAAATACTAAATGCAGAATATTAATGCCACATTTCACATTAATGTGTGAAGAATCAACTGTGTAGGATGTCGATTTATTTGCATGCCAATACATCAATCCGTAACAGAAAGTTTTACAATATAGTGACCATTTCACATCGAACATGCTCTTATTAAAGTAATGTATTCAAAGTGCTGACAATTTTTCTATTAAATGCAATTAGTGGTTATTATTCGATGATTATAGCCCATGTCTATTAGAAAAAGTGACTAATTTTGATAAGAAGTGTTTAAAACACGTGATGGGTTGACGTTGGGTAAGGCGTTGGGTTATAAGACGTTGAGTTATAAGACTTTTGCATAATAAAGACGAACAGTCAATGAAAATGCATTTTAATTTTTGAAACCCTATGATTATCATGGTATTTTGAAAAATTTGCAAATTATGACAGATAGGACAACTTTTAACTTTTCTATTGTTTTTAGTGAAGATTAAAGATCGTAACATTTTCACCTACCTTTCTCTAAACATTCTTTTTGTTGTCATTTTGGTGTAAGATTACCCAGGATATTCATTACTTTCTTTTAAAAATAATTTCTTGCATATATTTAGACGCAACGAGTTTCTCAACCGTTTCAAGAGCATTGAGCGCTTCTTGGAGTAATCCTCCATTAACATACATATCAGTGAAGTCGGTAGAAAAGAGGACCGCCAGGAAGTGTACGCTACATCACGCGCTCCTGCGTTACTACCCAGCGGGCAGATTTGGGAGGGAATTAGTATATGGGTGTGATTTTGGACACTTCACAGAGGTTAGACTAGCCCCTGCGAAGCATACAAACTCATTTTGTCGGAACAAATTTCACAAGAGACTGTCTGGGAATCGAACTCTTAGCATCACTAGTACAAAAGAGTCTCACAAATTCGTTCACCGTTTCCTGCATATTTGTTCCGTGCTTGTCGTTTGTTTTTCTATATTGAAGTGTAAGGTTTGAGACGGGAGGAGAATCGTGTAACACACTTTTTGAGCAACTCTTAACATTTTATGATAATAAAAGAATTATGATTTGCACTATGATCCACACATTTACATCGTGAATGACATACCGAGCGCAACATTTTTTAGTGTATTTCGGCTTTCCATATTGTTTCAGAATATTGAATATTGCTTACTGTTTTCCCACGCTTGCCTCCTCCCATCTTCATTTCGATTGATTGATTGATTGATTGATTGATTAAATTGTGTTTTCGGGCGCGGTAATAGCCAAGCTCATGTGTCCCATGCGTGCAGTGCATGTTTTCATCGAAAGAGGTGGCGGTGATTTTCCCCTTTTTGATGGCAAGATCCGGCACCGCCTACACGTCGGCTAGCGAGGTTTCCCCAACCGGGTATCTCCAACCAGCGGAGCACAGTCCCAGCCTGTTCAAACTCGAAGCTCCCGACTCGTCCTCGACATGTTGGCAAAGTGGTGCATGTACGCGTATGTAACGGGTAGAATAGGACAAGGAAGAGGAAGGAAAGGTCGCGCGCGGTCCTAAGCCCGTTTGTTAGCACCGGCATTCGTCTGGCGATGATCAGAGAAACCACGTTAAACTACTGCCGATCTTCATTCGTCGGTCTTAAAATTGATCTGGGTGTTGTGTTTGTGTGTGGCAGGCGTGCCTGGCAGCGACGCTGCTAGCAGCGGCGGCGCTAATGGCCAACGCCCAGCCGGCGGGCAGCCGCGACCCCGCAGCTCTCAGGTGAGTCCTCACGCTCTCCCACCTCGCCCCGCCCCCGCGCCCCGCCCCACACGCTGCACGCATGGCGCTCGGTGGAGGAGACGCTGGGCGAACGAGTGACAGCGCAAATGGACGTACCTCGGTGCGGAGTTGTATATTTATCACTGTAACACCGTTGTTAATTTGTCCCCAAACACGGCACTCTCATCGCCAAATGGAAGTCCCAAATACTTCTCTCCAACTGCCATCTATTTCTTGAAGAAATAATGGCCAACCAGAAGAGTAGACAAACGTTGTCTCTGGGCCGTAAAGAAAGAAGCATTTCCTTTAGGTTTTTATTATTTAAAAGATACGAATTCTTGTTGCAAATGTATTCGTGGTTGCATGGTAAACCGATGTTAAAAATAACTAGTTTACATATATTCCTGACGATACTGCATGATAGTTCCTTTTGGAATCGATTAATCAATACCTTTTTCACTATCACTTTAACATCTTATTTATAATATTTATTGAACTATACAAATTTATTCGTCTTCTTTTTAAAACCTGTTATTTCTTTCATTCACCAAACAAGTCCCTCTTACTCAATTTTACTTTTCTTAGTCCTATGACATATTTTATATTTTTCTATGAGAACATGCTGCTCAAACAATATTTCATATCTGAATAACCATCATTAACGTGTCCTTCCTTGAATTCATCTAGAATATTCTAGAGAGAACCGATTAAAATTGTTCAAATCAATGTGTCTAGTTGAGAGGAATCCAGTGAGCTATTAACCACCTCCGCAGGAGCTGCAAGTGACCCAAAAGTTGTTTTAGATGCTTAAAAACAATGTTTTAAAAGAAATGTATTATCTTCCTTATGGATCCGCAAAACAACGATTAGTTTCCCACCAGGCGGACGAGACTCACGGAGTGACACCACATTTGTGGGCTGGAAGTGATCATGAGAGATGGACGCAAGTTACTCGATTTATATTTAAGAATGACGTGGCACGTAATAAATGTGCAGGTGAATGTTCTTGATAAACTTTGCTCCGAGAGTCCATTTCCGTTGAAATTGTATGTGGATGTGTTGTGCATGCATGTAAATGTTTTATTGAATGGTGGTAAGAGGGATCTCGACTCACTTGGGACAACTTGAAATCAAGGTACAAGTACAGAACGCTGACCGAAGCGCTGGCGACGATGCGATCGCAAAGCTGCAAATAAACGCTAACTGGCTTTTTGAGTCGCTTACACCTGACGCACTAACCGCTCTTCCTGCATTGGGATTTTGCCAATATCTGCCTGCCTTGTGTCACTTCACGGCTCACTTCGCGGATGAACTGTCTTTATTGTACATAGCTTTCTACATGATGCCCACAAACATTCGACAATGTTTCAAACAACCGTGTGTAATGAGTCTCGTTTTAAATACACATATGATTAATGAATGCATACGAGCAATTAAAATGGTGATTAAATTATTTTTTAAAACCTAAAATGTCAATTTCACTTGCTATGCCCATCAGAAAAATAATTATGTAATTAGAAAGTTTAGGAGTTTCAGCCCAAAATTCAAATGTAACGAGTAGCTTACATCATTATTGTTTATACCTCATTCCAAAGACTATTTTCCTCTGAAAAAATATTAAAAATAATGTTGAAATCAATATTTTGTAATCTCCTCGTGGAGATTAAATTGTAAACATTACATCAATTCGTAAAAACGACATTTCGTAGTTACTCACCAAACTACTTACCAACTCAACGAAATGAAACATTCTGATACTGATTATAAAATTTCAATTTTCACACAATCACTTATTCTAAAACATGGAACTATTGTTCTGATTTTGTAAATTCCGATTCATTAATCCAAAAAAAATCCGAGCTTCAAGATTCCATCGCAGCCCATTGAGGCAAGTCACTAGTCCGTTTGGGAATGGGGCCAACATATTTGGAAGGGACCAGGCCGTTTGTGCGCACTCGCATCCCCGCCGGCGCTGGCAGCGAAACGGTAGGCTCCGCGCGACGCCACAACGGCCCACGCGACGGACAGACGCTCTCGAGCGCACAAAGCGCCTCGTCGCCGTCCGCGAGAAGACAGCCACCTCGGGAAGACCCAGCGACAACACCGCCGAACAGGTGAGTTGTGTACATAGTACGTGTGCTAACATACTAATACACAGGGTACCTTGTTCCGTGTAAACCCACGAGTGTTTGTTTTTTTGCAAGAGTCTACCTGTGTTGCCCTTATCCCCGTCGTTTGTTTACTTGTAACCACTTTAAAATCTCGTTTGAAATGCGAATTGTTTACACGTGTTGGTGAATTTCGTAAGTGTTGGTACAAGGTGTTTTCGTTACTTCTATTAAAGATAATATTCGAAAACAGTTTTGTCATCGAAATTAATTTTCTCTTAAATATAACCCTTGTATCGCATACACTGAATGCACCGATGTTTCGCGTGCATTGACCTCAACAAGATGATGAAAAATACAACTCAATAAATGTCACCGATTAAAGCAGCATTCCTAAAGAATGTAATAAAATGTTCTAGTTGGAGTCCATGAACCAACCATTGACGTTGAGTTTTTAAGTAAAATAAACAATTTTAAATTTAAAGGGAAATGAAAAAACTAATTCATTCGGCAACATTCTACAGAACTATTATAAATGTGTATTTCAAATTCATTTATGAACTAAATTTTTCAAAAACTTTAAAATAAATTATTTATTAATTATAACTCTTGTAAAAGAAATATTAAGTACTCTTTTTAACTATGATAAAAGTATACATTGTCATACATAAAATACTGAATACATGACGCTTAATATCTGCCATGTTCGCCAATAGGCTATATAAATTTAGTACATTCTGAACATTACTGTGAGCAAAGTGCTAACAGATGGGCAACGACTTCATAACTTGATCAAATACTGCTAATTAATAAAGAATTGAAATTAACTAACAAAAAATCATCGAGAACTTATCGAGTGTGTACGAGTATTTAAATTACTTTCTTACTGTGGTAAATGTCAAGAGAGTTACGGTGGCAAATTTCCAAAAGTTGTAAATTTGCCTAATATCAGTACCCAAAATAACTTGGTGTAAACATGCGTAGATAGATGAAAACTGTTTGATTATCTCTTGCTATACTTTCAAATAATCCGGAAACGAAACGTAAGTAGTTTCCATTACATAGTGCAATATTATTGAAAGCTTCATATTTAATAAATATCCAAATATTGAGTTGATACAATATACGGTTAAGGAGCAATCGACCAAACCGAGTAACCCGGCCCTCTTTTTCAGATCGCGAGCTGACGGCTCGCCGCCTCGCCGGACATTCGACTTCGTCATTCAGAAGGCGGAGGTCCGAGAGCTGAGCAGCAGCCAACTGTTCCTCCGCCGCCGGCAGCCGCCAGATACGGAGCGCAGAGCCACCGTACAGGGTTGCCCCCGCCCCAGCGCCACGCCCCTGGGCTCGCGCGCCCGCGGCCCCCGAGCGGAAGCGCCTGCAGAAGAAGCAACCTCCGCTAAGGCAAAGCCCACCTCCAAGCCACGCGGCGGCGGCGGCGACACGCGGCGCTGCTGCTCGCCCTCTCCACCCGCATCGCGCGCCAAGGCGGGTACCCTACGACAAACCCGGCTACCGCCCCCGCAAGAGCAGCTGCCACTGGCAGCGCCGCCGTAAACCTTCCCTATTTTCTACCTACGCCTGTACGCGGTAACAACCATACTACAAACCAACAGCAACACGACCCAGCAGCACAAGGCCAATCTCCCCTGACATCTTCTTCCAACTCACTCGGAACGAGGAGCAAGAAAGTGCCGTCGCTTTAGGCTGGAGATGAGGCGCACGAAACAAGGCAACGGGGCGGCCCGGAGGGTTCGAGCGAACAACGACGCGCGGGGAAGAGTATGAACACGTATGGCGTGCGTGGAATGGAAGACCAGCGAAACCGCACAAACTGCTGTAAAGTTGTTCCGTGAAGATTTAAACGAGTGTCGAAAGGCTCGCCTAGAATTCGTCGAGGAATCAAGAGCTACGAGCGGGGAGTCGGCAAGCGTCGCATCGGCTTACACCAAAAACGCAGGGTTACGTGTTTGCCACTGACCCGGAGAAAACGCAGACTCGCGATTGACGCCCGGCCGGTGGAAGCGGCGAAAGCCGCGGCTGAGCCAACGAAGCGCGCAGAGTTCCCGCGCAGCCGCAGCAAGGCGCCAGGGGTCAGAACGCGCGCAGTGCAAAGCAGCGAAGGCCGCGATCGGTACGAACAACGGCGTTACGGAATTACGCGACCGGCAGAACAGCACACGACTCAGTGGCCTATAAAACGCACGGTGGAGGCGCGAAAGCACTGTCGGGCGGCGAACGAGCAAGGGCAATGGTTCCCGCGATGAGGGCGCGCGGGGCGCGAAAGCGGGGCGCAGGATGGCAGCGGCGGAAGGCGGCGATCGCGCGGAGGCGTCGCGCGCAGCGGGAGAGGCGCTGCCGCGGCGCAGGTGGCGCGGCGCCCGGGCGCGGCCTCGTGAACGCACGGTGCGCTGCGCGGGGGCGGCGTGCCATCGCGGCCGGGCCACGGCGCCGCCGGGCAGGCGGCGTGCGCCGTGTGTGGCCCGGCGGCGTGGCGTTCGGCGCCCCAAACGCCCTCAGCTGAGTGGGGCCCGGCCGGCGCGTGTGGCGCCTCGCCCCCCCACGCGCCCCCGAGCCGCAGCCGCGCGAGGCGCTGCCGGGCCCAGGTCGTGGCCGTCGCGTCCCCACCGTCTACCTGCACCCGGCCGACGCCGCGCCCGCCCCGCAGCTGCCCACCCTCTCCTTCTACAAGTGAGCTTCGCCCTCGCTTCCACGCGTGCACACTCAAGACGACTCCGTTCGAGTGATATCCAAGTAATTTCGTACCAGACTTTTCAACGGCAAATACGAGACAAACAGGAACAAGACTTGACATTCGACACCTTCAAATATTTTTAATGGAATGCACTACACTTTTGCAACAGTCTTTTCGAATCTTAAATTATTTGGCAACTTTCAGGTATCTGTATCATACCCAAACGGGAAAGCTACATCCACCTCTTTGGCCAACTGTCAGTTCGAATTTAATTCCGTTTGTTCTTATGTTAATTCTACGCTTTGCGATCGCAACTGGTGGTGACACGAAACATATTATTAAAAGATTATCGAAGATCCCGAATCTCGAATCATTCGTATATATGATAATTTCCATAGGGTAAAAGATGAAGTAAGAAAAAAATATTATTCTTACCTTAACCTCTATTTTGATAATAACTCTGCTCGCCACTTAGATCTGGAAACCGCACGGGAACGCCGCATTCATCACGCACAATTCACAAGCACTAAAGACCGACGCAATCGGTGCGCAACGAACGACACTCATCCACTAACTGAACGAGAAAGTGTCATAAATAGGCGTGACAGCCAACGCCCTCTTTCGGCGACGAACCTCTAATACCCCACCCATTCCGCGTGGTGGCAATCCCAGAAGGGCTACGCGCGTCATTCAAATATAATTGCCGAAATTACTGAAAACGCAAAATTATACCTAAGCGTGGGAAAACAGTCCACATGACAATTATAAAATACTAAAATTTGTAATAAATTAATGCAATAAAAACGTACAAGTTCTACAGAAAGCGACAGTAAAGAAAATTCAAAAATGTTTGATATAAAAATAAAAATGGCGAAAATTGCAGAGATTCAAATTCCTTCGCAAAAAATGATTATCAATATTTGAGGGATTGGAATATTCAGGATTCTTTAATCACAAAATAGTTCAAGTGAACGAGGCCTTATTTTTGACTGCTTGGTGCGTGGAAAAATGGAGTCGAAATAAAAGCAGAAGTCCGATGAGAAATAAAACCATTTATAAATTTGAATTATCCCTACAATACATAGTATACAAGTATTTTTCATATTCGGGGCTTTTGAGGCCGTCTCGTTAAAATTGAAGTTCCTTGTCAGTAATGAACGATATGACTGATCTCTCTCCCCATGCGTTTGCGTGTACATATAACTAAAGCTGTAATAATGCTCAACATTATGACATGGCTTTTTTAGTCTTGTAATATTCAACAAAACAAAGTTCACAATATTAAAGCGTTCTTGTGACAGCTAATGGAATGTAAAACAATATAATTTACCACTTACTAATTTATGAATTGATGGTAAAGCTTTAAGGAAATACTTTGTGCTGAATAAATGCTACAAATTTTCTTAAGGGTATTGAATATTGTTGCACATGACAGTGGGCTTATTGAAGTATCTTGTAATTGCGGGAAACTGGTGCAGAAAGAAGCTAGCTTTCTCTTTGACAATACAGATGGGGTAAAACTTCTCCAATCATATCACTGCTTATCCAAAGAGGCTCAAACTTACATTTACACTAATGCTTAAATGCAATCAAATAATTGCTCTCTATTTTTAGCTTTATATTGCAAGATTGATTGAAATGAGTTAAAAACCAAATAAAAAAGATTACTTACATTAATGTCAAAATACAACAAGAGAGACGGATTGAGAATTTAAAAAAAATATTATTTCCATAGTCGTTAGTGTACATTTTGATAATGATGATAAGAGAGTTTTTAATTATCGAATAATTTGAATTATTGAAGGAGAGAAAAAAATCAAGATGAAGAGGATATATTGTCTTTTCCGGTAAGACATTTGGGAAAGTAAAGTGCACAGTATTAAATGAGGTGTGATAGCAAATTATCCAAAAATATTTTATACTTATATATGAATTTGTACAGATTTATACTGTTTTGAAATAAATTTCTTTTTAATAAATATGGCATTTTCTTTACCATCTAATATTTTTAGATTTCCTTCTTTCTATACTAACCTCGCACAAATATCAAATTCCTTATTTTGCATAAAAAGCTCTCAAGCTTTAAGAATTATTATTAAGACTTTCAAGCTCAAACACATCAATAGAATCGATACAATCAGGAACATTGACTGCAGTCATTCTAAAGATTCCCCCCTTTTTTTTTAAACGTTCAATAGAATAAGTTTAGCGATTAAAATTCACATACGCGCAGACTACGTAAACCGTTCCGAAGATAATATTTTGAGCACCAAATGTTAAGTAGGAATTTCCAGGAAGCATTGCGTGCAATCGAGCCATTCAGAAAAGCCCAGGGTTCTGGTGTATCCAAGTGAGTCGAGGTCTCTACGGACGCGAGCCAGGAGGGGCGCAGGCGGCAAGAACTGATGCGGCGACTGTGCGCTTCCGTAGTCTCGGGCTGGCCGCTGTTCGGCCCCCCCCGCGCTGCCGCCGCTTTCGGCGCTCGCCAACCTCATACACCATCATAACGCGCGACTGCAGGCGTCCGCGCCCTGCGCCCATACCTTAACGCCTAACACACAAACCTGCTCAACCTGCCAGCCTCACTACTACTCCAACCCTTCCTGCCTCGCAAGTTGTCGCGGAGTCGGCCGGTAAAGATCTTCCATCCGGCCCCCACCCGCTCAGCTTCCAGTCGCTCCGCGCGCGGCGCCGCCGAGCCCTAACCAGTTCCCGACAACCCGGCGGCCGCCGGCGTCCTCGAACCCGCGTACCCGCCACCCCACCCCTCACCACCCACCCATCAGCCACGCGCGAGCCCGGAGGCCCACCCCTCGGAGAGGTGGACACGCCACCCCGCGCCCCCGCGCCCACGACGGCGCCCGCCGAAAGCGGCACGTCGCCGTCGCCGTCGCCGCCGCCGCCCGCCGACGGCAAGACGGTGCTCATCCTCAAGCCCTTTGCCAAGGCGGTGGCCGGCATCAACGGCACGGCGGTGGCCACGCCCGTCGGCCACGCGGTGTACCACAAGGGCCAGCCCGTGGACGTGGTGTTCGACCCCCGCGCGGTGGCGGTGGCAGGGCCCGGCGGCCACGCGCGAGCGCACTCCGACCTCATCGTGTCCTACGTCGAGAAAGAAGAGTGAGGGAAGGAGTCCCCTTGGCGACTCAAGTGACTGATCTCCTTTGGGCACACGGCCCTGGAAATGTGTGTATCCTCATCCGCGTGCTACAATGTATTGTGATACGTCGTAATTATTATTCCTTCTGACCATTGATGTGCGGTTGGACACATTATTTAATTATAAACCATTTGAAGAAAAATGACCGTAGTTCAAAGATAATTTATACCACCGAGTTCCATAAAATTAAAAGTTACGTTTACTTTTGTGAACGCGCACTATCGGGTGCGATGTCGGGTCCAAAAGAACAAAGCAAAAATGTGATTTTCAGATTTCGAATGAAAGTGTAAATATTGCAAGATTGTAAATAAAAGCAGCAAAATATTAAAGTATAAATAATGATAAAAATAACTGCAATAATAGATACGCAAATATTATTCTCCAAAAAATTATCTTCATTATATTTATCTACATTAATGTATGTTACATATACAAATTTTTAAATTATTTGCCTATTTTATTTAATATAAAGATATTATTAAAGATATAATTAAAATCACCAAATTTATTCGCATTCCTTAAATGCTGTTGCAAAACATATTACGTTTTTCTATTGTGAACAAATGCTTTGTCCACTTTGCGATTAATTGATGATCGTATCTTTTATAAATGATACTTATTTATACTTTTTACACATTTTATACACCACATTTGTATGTAGAATTAAAGCTTTAACGTTTTTAGGTAAAATAATAAATGCAACATTAGTTTAATCTGCATTTTCTTTAAAAATCCCTCACGCAAAACAGCACGGTTTCCTTTTAGTATGTTCCTTGTGAATTTTTATTTCACCTTTCTACATTTTCTTAACCATATATCCAAATTCCATCACTTATAGTCAATACCTATAATATTCCTTTGTGATCAATATTAAAAGATCTCTCAACAGACCAGCTGCTTCGAAATGAAACCAACGAATCATAAGCAGTACATTATATTAGTTACCGTTTTAAACGGTTACTTCATGAAGACGTATTCCAGCTGCAGTATCCAGTTTCTTCAGCCATAGAAGCGTTCCAAGGTTTCGCTTGAGAAGTCATGCGAATGGTTGCTTCAGATTGTATGTAAATGGTAATACATTTGCTTTCTCTTCCTATCACTCATTTTCTTTGGGTTCAGGTGACATCTTCCCTTTTACTATATTCCAGTTGTTAGATACTTCCTTCTGTCTATGGAGCAAATACCAAAATGTCAAAAATCTAGAAACATTTAAAAAAATTTTGTTAGTTATGCTTTCTATTTACGATCATTCTTAGCTTTTTTCTTTAGCTTATGCGGTTTGGGAACAGGTTTCTGTTCATGTACTTCTTTCCGTTGAATTGCTACAAAATTAATGCAAATAACAGAGCCATTCTTGCACATGTGTTTGCATGATTATGTATAATTCCTATGTTATTTGCCGTAGAATGTGGTTCTCTTTTAATTAGAATTACTTAGGAGTAGTTTTTAGTTATTATTTATTCCTGTATCAGCAATATGATTTTGTACATTTAATGTAAGCGTAAATATTTACGAGAAATAATCAAAGAATCAATAGAAGTTATATTTATATTCATAGGATTATTTTGAAAAATATATTAATACAAAAGTGATATTGAATTATTAATATTATTTTAATAAACTTATACACCATATTTCAAAGATTAGTACTTATAGTATACTTTGTGTCGAATTTTTGAATGAATAATTACACATGTGAATAAATAACACAGAATTAAAAAACAAAATCATATGTGTTACTTCGTTTGCTTCCATTTTAATGTATGTCGAATCAGACAAATTTTCAAAATTTCTGTTAAATACATGATCCATATGTTCTTAATATATTTCATTTTATCCTCCCACATTTCAACGACGAGGGCTTTGCTAAGTAGCTGTGTGAAATGCGACCTGAGGACCCAGAGTGCCCTGACCGCTTCGATTTGCTTCCGTCGCAGGCCTGAGCACCGCGCGCAGCTCACCGAACTCAACTACTTCGGCGCCGCGCGTGGCCGGCGGCCCGTGCTGGCCTGGCAGCTGCGCCAAGAAGGAGATGCGGAGGGCGGTGGCGACAGCGAGCAAGGAGGCAGCGGAGGCGGCGGGGGCGGCGGTGGTGGCGGCGGAGGAGGCGGCGGAGGTGGTGGTGGTGCGGACAGTGTGGTCGTGAACCAACCGCCTCCAGGTGAGAGACAAAAAACCCGACTGTAGGTACTATAATTGCCGCGTTAAGTTTTTGTATTTTTTTAACACTTAACGGTTGTTATTAATTATTCTGACGAATAATAATAATAAAGTGAGACACTGTGAATTCTACTTCCCGCACCTTACGACTTTCTCCTATTAAAATGTCATGGTTTTCGCATCTCTTACGACAATGATTATGGCCCTAAGTTCTGCCTTACTTCTGTCAATCCGAAACATCTGTGTTGATACTTGTATATTTACCTCGGAGGGTGATACACGCGTTTTAACACAATCTAGCGCTAAGCCCCGCCTGTAGACTCAGGATTCAATATCAAAAACTAACCGTCTCTATTTGTTAGTCTACATCTGTGCATTTTTTCTGACACTCCTGTACATTCATATTTTCGATGGTCATAAACTATGCTTTTTAGAAATAGGTCCCAAATAATTAAAAAAATATGATAAAGTTTTTTGCGACTTTGAAATTAAAAAATTCCACAAATGACTTGCAGTTTTGAAATGTTTTGAAACACAATAGTGACGATATGTTTCCTGCTTCAAACTGCACAGGTTTGCTTCTTTACATGGTGGTCTAGTCTGCCGCTCGAACCTTATCTTTCTCTCCTCAACAATGAGAATTGCCGCGCGTGTCTTAGGATAGTGCAGAGTGTTTCAATCGCGCGTTCAAAAAAAAGCCAGAATCCAAGTTTTGTTGAAAACGAAAATTTCCGACCGGAAATCGATTGCACCAAGTTTCCTCAAACAACGATAAGAGAAACCGAGATTGATTGATTGAATGTTCAGTAATTCCGGGCGCGTCAACTTCTAAGGTCATTAGTCCCGTAAAAGGTCATTAGTCCCATAAAAACAGAAAACATGTAGAACAAGCATGCAGAAAATGATTGTAGTATATTGATAAATACATGTGTTATTATTTCTTTAACATAAAAAATCCTTCAATTCCTTGTATACTGTAATTTATTCTGGGGTTCAGCATATCCCTACTGATGTTCTCCGGGTACCGGAATGACATTGGTACCGGTATGTCCAGCCACTGACAGTTCGGACCATTGACAATGACACCGGTATGTCCAACCGGTCAATGTCATTCCGGTACTCTGAGAACATCAGTATGTGACTGATAAAGAGTTAAACGAAAACATAATTTCATCGAATGCAAATTAGCTGACTTAGAATCGACATCGTTTCCATCATTTTTTCGCGATTTACCTAAACTGCAAATTCTCAACTGTATTTCAGTCAGAATTGCCCTGAAGAACCTAACAAAATATTAAACGCTCGACGACGCAGCTGCGCGGCGCCGAAATGTTGATAGCAAACTCGTAAACCGGTCTCACTCAATTTTGTCTCAATTTACCATTATCTCTTTCTGCATTTATAAACTTACTTACTACGCATTATCATTAATATAGTAAAAACAAATTTAATTTCAGACTCATAAATATATTTGTCGAATTGTCGCCATTTCTTGTGTTCCCAATTTTTCTCTAAGAGAGTATAGTTTATAAGACCAACTCGCGATTAGCTTTGCACCTTAAACCTAATTTTAGCTAGTGCTTAAACTATACATGCGAGTTAGAATAGTTATTGATTTGCTTGTTTGGTGCAGTTTTTGCAACAATCTAGTGTTAATAATGTTCCGATAAAATAGATGATAATTAAGATAATAATTAATGATAATCGAGTGAAAATTATTCATTTACATAAACTCCCTATCCTTCGACCTGATTTTCATTATCCATTAATTTACTTCCCTACCACTATTTTATATATGTTCCGTATCAAACTAAATTAGCTATTTAAATGTTTTAAGTACAGTTTTGTGAGTTACATCTGCAACCCTCTATAAATTTAATTTCAATCACTGCAGTTGTCGTCCATAAATTACGAAACGCTAATAAGGGGAGGGGGTTTGAGGCAGCATTACGCTGTGTTATATCGGGGAAACGGAGTTTAATTTCGTGTTTCGTAACAATGATTTTCTCTTCTTCTTTCTATTTACACTTTTCTACACTTGCTGAAATAATTCCGTTTTTTGAGTCTTGTATTAAAAATACAAATAATTAAAGTTATTAGATGTATACTGTTACAATAAATTGAACTTTTACCATTTTTTAATTTGTAATATTAAGATGAAAATATTCAAACCGATACCGATATGTAGAATATTCTAAAAACCATTTGTATTGGCGCAGTAGACTCTGGCTCATGCGTCATCCACGACGGCGTCTGGTAAGGCTCGAGTTAAATTTTCTCTCTCCTATACGTCCTTCCTACACTAACCATCGCCAACTAATTTCTACATTAATTATCATTAATTTTAATATACAACATAACTAAAATGAACACAAACTGTTTTTACTGGGCTATAATTTATTTTCACTTCTTGCATTTTCAAGGGGGGAGTGTTGTCGTAAGTGTCACGTAATTATTTAGGGTGGGGATTCAAACGCGTGATACGTTACTGGGTTTTCCAAATACTACAATTTGTATTACTTAATTCACGGACGGCCCCTTATTAATAATTCTAGTCGTAATAAGCGCGCGGCCATTGTATACTGAGTGCGGTGCGGTGGTGTGGGGTGCGTGCGCAGGTGCGTCGGTGGCGGAGGCGCGGCCGGTGGGGCTGTCGATCGCGGGCGCGGGCGGCGTGGCGGCGTCTAAGCCGCAGGCGACGGCGGTGGTGGGGCCGGGCGGGCTGGCGGTGGCGCGGCCCGTGGCCACGGCCATCGCCGGCGTGCCCCCGGGCGCGCTGCTGGGCGCGGCCCGCGGCACGGCACGCCCGAGCCAGTACCGGTGCGACGGCGGCCGGCGACCAGGTGGGCCGTGGGCCCGCGCACGCCAGCGCCAAGTACAGCGTGCTGCCTCGGCCGGGGCGCGGACCGCTCGCGTGCGCGGCCCGCGTCCGCCCGTTGCGCGGCGCGCACGACGCCCTCGTCTACGTGCCCGTCTACGTTGTCTGAGGCCGGGCCCACGAGGCGGCCTGCCCTTCGCCTGCCCCGAAGCCTACGCGCAGGCGCTCCGGGGGCGCTGCATGTGCAGCCCTGGTCAAAGGCGCCCTGGGCCAAAGGTCTCATGAATAACTTCGTCGGCGACTCTTTCTTCGTTATTTATAATGTTCCCATCTTTAGCTTTATCTACGATTATTTATCTTCACTATTAGAACAGTGCGGTCCATTTCCTGGCCGCTCTACTAAATATTTAAGTAAAGGCAATCCATATTAGTTAACTAGAAATGACCTCTAGAATTATTTGTCGATTAAAAAAATGATTGATTTACCCCATTGATCACTAATTACGTATTAAAAATCAAGGATTATGTAATTGGGAAAATATAATTGGAGCATAAATAGTTCTGGAAAATTGCCTTACTTTATACTGAAGTGACCGAAAAGTCGTGTCACGTTGAAAATAGTATAGACTCACAGTCACTATAGATAATAGAATTAGAGACATCGCTGAAGGGAAAGGTATTTTTTACGGTGTACCGTGAGATTCAGCGTTAATCGGTAACCTCGACCTCACGAGACTTAATGTCATCACCAGCTAAAGTGCCAACGCCCACTGAATTCATTTACCTACAGGAGGCAACGTTTAAAATTAATCAACTACCATTAAAAATGTATATTTTTTGTTGGATATTTCTGAAACGTTACTGCTTAAAATAAGTCATTGTGTCAGAGGTGTCAAGCTATTCTAGTTTAAGGAGTAGGTAAAAAAATAATAATACAGCTCGCGCATGTGGTACCGTAAGTATAGTATGCAAAAATTTACAGAAGAGAACAAATTACACTCTTCAAACTTTCAAACAAATTATCAAAGTATGGATAATGAACAAAAAAGTACTATATTGCTAAACATTTCTGCAGTAAGTATATTAAGGACACGTGAGATACATAGATATTAACATATTAATTTAAGCATAAGGGAAGTGAAAGAATTTCTGTATTTCATCAGAAGTAAATAAAAATGTTATAACTGGTTTACAACTATTTCTTTCAAATCCCTCATCCTATTGAATGGAGGCAGTCATTTTTATAATAAGTACATATTTCAAATACAAACGTCAGAAACCAATAGTATAATAATATAATGTAAAATGTTATTTGTTTTTACATGTGAGATTAAATATGTGTACAATCTCTTACCTTTCCTTACATTTACATTTCATTCATTCCTTTGTTTAAGACCCCTCATGTGTCACAAAATATATTATTTCTATTATGCGCAACTTTTGTATTTGATCAATGGGTAATCGCATTAAAAGCTTATAGTTATCAACGATGCTATCTAAATTGGGAAGCAATCAGAACTGCACTGAGTTCCCCGGGTGGTTGACAATTGACAAACACCATCGTCAAATAACTTCAGTTACTCGTGTCTGAAAACTCATGCCAAAGTGACATTTGCCAACTTGTTTTAAAACACACAACACTAATGAACATTCGTTACATCATTTGATTTCTAATAACATATTTTATGCTGATTTCAGTGGCATAAGCGGAGCCCAATTTAGATGTGCTACTCCCTTCTCTAAATATTTTCGAGATTCCATTAGCACGAAAATATTTCACTACTAGCTGAAGTACCCCGCGTTGCCGGAGTAGTTATCACAACAATTTATTGGACAGGAAGATATTGCATCAATTCCGCGGAGCCTATTGTATCCCCGCTCCATCTTGCTCAACCCCTCTGCTTTGCTCCCACATGGATATACCCTGTCTTCCTAAGTTTCTCACTAAAAATGTTTATGATTTTTAAATAGAAATTTTACGTATTATTTTCATACTTTCAATCAATTGCCACATTGTAAATCGTATTCTTTTCATATTTTTTTCTTTAAGCATATTTATAAAGAAACGTTTGTAATAGATGTTTGACCCACGTCGTGTAATTGAAATAAAAATATAAATGAAGTGGTTTTAATTGACTTCGAGTTCCCGTTTTATGAATCTTGATATATAGTGGCAGACGGT